GTTGGTTTGATGCGAGCTGAAATGAATGATCAGTCTGAAAATCTAATGAGTAAGTGTGGTACAATGAATGAAATCCGCAAAATTGCAGAGGAGAATCCTAACCTGAAGGAAGATCTAATTACAAGCCTTCAAGTTCCAATTCATTTGATTCGTGATGTGTTTAGTCATCAAGCTCTTAAAGGTGAGCCTTTCAAAACATTTCCAGCAGCATCAGAAACGGAAATAGAAAGATTTTGGAAAACAATTCAGATTGTAGATGATAGTGTTACTCATGAAGATCGTACTGCAGAACATATAAAATGAAAGGTAAATAAAATTGATTAATTTTCGCGTAAAAAAACTTTCATTAATGTAACTTTATTATAGGAATATATGCAAGAATTCTTAGAGCACTGTTGTAAGTCAAGGCATTACTTTTTTTCAATCAAGAAATGTGGTGAATCAACTTGTACTATTTGCCGTCCTATTCGTTGTTCAACAGAAGATTTTGAACAATTGCATCATCTTCCAGATCCAGTACCTGGTGAAGACTTGCATTACATATCATTTGAAAAGCTATATGGTACACCAACAACAGAAGATCATAGACCTTCGTTTAGGGATGCTAAAGCAAAAAAAAAAGAAAATATGACAACCACAAAAGTGAAACACAGTATGCCCTTCTGCCCTTCTGCTGTACGTGCAAAAAATGTTGGTGTTGTTGTAAATTGTGCTGAGTGTGAGAAACCACGTCTATTATTCAGCGCCAGAAAATTGTCCAAAAAGGATAGGACAAGTCTACAAAGTTTCTTAGACACAATCTTCTATACCTGCGGCATGTTATTTCATAATACATGCGATTTGGCAATAACCACACCCGTACCATCAAAGCAACATGATGAAATAGAAAATTTGGATGAGGGTGATGATTGTAATGAAGACGAATCTGAAAACTCAGATGATGAGAATGAATCTGATAACAATATGAAGGATTCTATTCGTGAACTTTTTTCAAGAGTTTTTGTTAATGATTCTTGGTCTTGTACGTCACAGATTAAAAAACCATATTATTCAGCTGGAATCTATCCGGACGTTTGCATTGAGTGTGGAAGCTTAGATATTAACGAAACAGCAGAAGACAAATTCCCACATTGCAGTAGTTGCAGTGATAATACTGCCATTTCAAAGAAACGTCTAAAGTGGAAACAAGGTGGTAAAGATAAGGGAAAGCGTACAAAGATTTGATTTAGACAATTTTTTATTTTTTTTTGATTTCGCGTTTAGCAGCGCAGCATGTATATTAAACATTTTGATAAAACATTTAATATTTTAAGCTTAAATTTAAAAACAGTTTTAAAAAAGTTTTAATTTTCAATTTTATTGGTACATTCACGTGAGTTAAATTTGATTGGTTATCATAAAAAAAATTAAAAGTTCGGAGTGTCACTTTATCGATGCGGGCGGGATATGAGAACCGAATTTTTAACTTTGTCTCGCCTAAATTATACAAACTTATAAAATAGATGATCTTGTACTTAAAATTTGATAGATATATGAGAAATTTAAAATTTTTCATTTGTTGTACAAACCAGGGATGAAATTAGGGATGGAACAACTCGCTCCCTATGCATTTGAGACACGATGGATTATATCCTTTGCCGATCAGGCGAATGGGATGGCTCGCTCGGTTCGGTTCCATAATCGGTTTTTGACACTTCGGTCCAGAACTGAGTCAGTATACCAAACCAAATGAAACGAACCGACTCAGGTCGCTCAATCCAAACTTTTTCCATCCCTAGATGAAATATCAAAAATGAGACAGATTAAAGAATTATTGATTTATGATATACAGTCTTTTAGGATTTTTAGGATTAATTAATTATTATCAAACTTTAACTGAAAATGTACACAATGCACAACAATAAACGCATTATAGTCTTATCTTAAAAAAACATATATTATTTATTACATTTACTCTAAAGAGAGATACTATTACAACAAAAAAACATAATTATTATAAAAAGAAAGGCAAATGCCATCTGATTTAGAATTAAATAATTAATGAGCTAAAAAATAGTATAAAATTAACAATAATATTCAAGTTAACCTTTGTAAACAGAATATTTGACCCACAAATTGCACAATAATACCGTTACTCACTTTCCGGATTTAGCAAGGACGTGAGTTGTATATCAAATCTAATTACTTCTTCATGCGTATTTAAAATTTCATTAATTTCTTTATTAGTTAATTCATAATCTTCGATTAATTTCTGATTAATTTTTTCTAATTCTTTAGAAGCAGAATCATTATCACCTAATATAAAATTTTTGTGTTTTTCCAACATATTATCTATTAAAAGCTTGCCTTTTTTACCAAGATCTTTTTTTTTAACAGTATCAATTAATTCTTTCAGTTTGGTATTTTTAGTCTGTATTTGAGGAAGCAAAATATTGGTCTCTCTTATTCGATTTTTTATCACTTCACCTTGTTGTTGAAGTTCATTAATGAGACCTTCCTTATTTTTTAATTGATTATTGAGGGAAGTAATATTCTCCTGAGAAACTTGATATTTCCTGGTTTCTTCATCCAAATTACTTTGTAATTTCTCAATAAGCTCCTCTCTATTTTCTAGTTCGTTGTTAAGGGAAATAAGGTTCTCTTGGGAAATTTGATATTTTTTGGTTTCTTCATTCAAATTATTTTGTAATTCCTCAATAAGTTTTTCTTTATTTTTTAATTTACTATTAAGGGAAGCGAGGTTCTCCTGATATTTTTTGGTTTCTTCGTCCAATTTATTTTGTAATTCTTCAATAATTTCCTCTTTATTTTTCAATTCGTTATTAAGGGAAGAAAGATTCTCTTGGGAAATTTGATATTTTCTAATTTCTTCATTCAAATTATTTTGTAATTCTTCAATAATTTCCCCTTTATTTTTCAATTCGTCATTAAGAGAAGCAAGATTCTCTTGGGAAATTTGATATTTTCTGGTTTCTTCATTCAAATTATTTTGTAATTCTTCAATTATTTCCTCTTTATTTTTCAATTCGTTATTAAGGGAAGCAAGATTCTCTTGAGAAATTTGATATTTTTTGGTTTCCTCATCCAATTTACTTTGTAATTCTTCAATAAATTTCTCCTTATTTTTTAGTTTGTTATTAAGGGAAGCGAGATCCTCTTGAGAAATATGATATTTTTTGGTTTCCTCATCCAATTTATTTTGTAATTCCTCAATAAGTTTCTCCTTATTTTTTAATTTGCTATTAAGGAAAGACAGATTCTCCTGATGTTTTCTGATTTCTTCATCAAATTTATTTTGTAATTCCTCAATAAGTTCCTCTTTATTTTTTAATTTATCCAAACAATCCTCCAACTTGTTTTGTAAATCTTTAATTTGTTGCTCTTTTTGTTGCTCAAGCTTATTAATAAGACCTTCTTTCTCTTTTAATTTGTTATTAAGGTTTTTAAGATTTTCTTGTAAATTTGTCTGTTCTTTCTGAAGGTCTTCTACAATGTCCTGTTGTTGAGCTTTCTCATTTTGAAGTCTATTCTTGTTTCTTCTGATCTCTTCAAGTTCATTTTTTAATTCCTTAGCTTTTATTTCTTGATTTTTTAACGACTGCAATTCTTTTTTCAAGTCATCCATTTGCTTTCTAAGTCCAGATGTACCAGTTTTAGAAAATTTTTTTTCGTGTTCTAATTTCTTTTTGAGTTTGCTTAATTCCGCTTTTTTATTTTGAATTTCAGTTAATGATGATTTAATGTTATCTAATTCATTTTTCAAGTTGTCAGATTCTTTTTCTTTCGTTTCTAGCTCCGTATTGATTTCTTCCAGTTGTTTTTCCGATTGTTCTACATCTTTCTCTTTATCTAATAACATTTTTTTTAAGTTCCCTATTTCTTTATTCAATTCTTCTTTTTCCATTAATTTTTCGGTAGTAAAATTTTCTAGCTTCTCTCCAGTAAAGGATTTTAGTTTCTCCTCTTTTTCTTCTAATTGCTCCTTAGTTTGTTGGTAAGCAACTTCTTTTTGTTCTAATTTTGCATTTAATTCATTGACCAATTGTTTCAAATTATTTGTTACTTGCTCCAAATTTTTTATTTCTACTTCCAAATGATTATTTTTTTCTACTAACTCCACTTCTTTTGCAATCAAGTTACTTTCTTCTTTTTCAAGTTCATTAAGTTTATCACTTGACGTTAGCTCTTCAATCTGTTTAATTTGATTTAGGAGAGCTTCTTTTTCTTTAACTGTTTTCCAATTTTCTTTCCATGCTTTCAAATTATATCTACCTTGAAAGGCATCAACAGAATTCAATGTATAAATCCCAAGTTGATCATATATTTTTTTCACTTTAGCTTCTGATCTCTTATCAGCTAAGCATCGAAAATTTGTAATACAATCAGGTAAGAACTCCAAACCAGAATCTATATCAGTATTATTAATACTTAAACTCTTTAATTTAATCATACTTTTTAAAGGTTTCATACTACCATAAAACTTGTTAAATTTGCCTTGCTGTATTCTATCTCCATCAATGCTTCCAATAAGTAATTCCTTTAAATTAACAAATCGACTGAAATAATTTAAATTTTGAGAAAATGAATTATCGAGCAAATTTAGATATTCTAATTTTTCACTATTTACAATAGGTAGTCTTATATCAATAAGTTGATTACAATTAGCTGTGATAGATTTAATATATAAACAATTACTTAAATCCAAACTAATTATTTTGTTTTGAGAACAATCAATCTCAGTTAAATGTTTATTTTTACTAATATCTAAACTAGTTAAATCATTTCCAGAACAGTTTAATTTCTCTAAATTAACAAACTCTGATAAATCTAAATGATTTTCTAAATTTTTCTTACTAATAACTAACATTGTTTCCTTTTCTCTTTCATTTTTTGTTGGATAAGTCGTTTTTAAATATTTTTGTGCGTTTGATACAATATCCAAATAATTATTTTCAGTTAAAATACATCCAATTGAATACTTCTTTGCGTTAATATCAATCCATGATTTTTCATGACCTGAATTTAAAACACAAATAGCTATTTCAACATTTTCTATATCAGATTTAATAGATTTAGGGTTTGAAATATTTAAATGAACACAATTTTTTGACCACCCAGCAAATTTAATTTCTATAGGTTTAAAACATTTAATAGAGATATCATATCCTTGCGATAACTGGTGTGTTGTAATAGAATAAGAATTGTTGCGTTGTAATTTAATGGATTGCTTGACATATTCAACTTGTATTTCTCGATTATTTGGACCAAATACTGATAATTCTGAAGGATTTCCAATCATCATCCATAAGATATAATAATCCTTTATATTTATTTTCTTTGAAGTTCTTATCGTAGCAGTAAATTGATCAATTTCATATGATCCAAATGTAACAAATATATCTTTTAACTTTGAATTATTTTTTGAAACGATTGATCCAAAAATCTCGTAATTTTTCTTTTCTACTGGTGGTCTTATACCTACAATCAATTGCTTGGTAATATCCGAATACTTTAAATCAATACTTCCGGTCATTATAATTCTAAAATTATTTCGCTTATTTAAAATTATATCTATTTCCTTCTTTTGCTCTACTTCAAGAATATCATATAAAGGAATTATATTATTAAATTCAATAATTTCTAAGTCATTATTTATATTTTGAATCCATTCAGATAAACCATTTTTTTCAATAATATCTCCTTTTTGCGTTAAAAGACACGGAATACTGAAATCTGCTAAATGTGATTTTAAAGATTCGAATACTGGTGATTCTAAATCAATCCTTTTTGAAATGTAAGATGAATTTTCTATGGTATTCTTAAGAGATTTTCCTAATATAATGCTTAATGGAATAAAATGTCCATAGTTTTCAAAAATTTCTTGTAAAAATATATGTGGTTTCATATTTTCAAGCGCTCTTTCTATAATTAGTTTAAATTTCTCTGAAGGTTTAATGTTATCCCTATTTAACAAAACTTTATATTGCTCACATTTTACCAGAAAATGTGCATAATCCTCATGACTTAGATCATCTGATACTTTAATAAACGGAAAGGAGCTTATATCTTCATTATCTGAAAAAACGTTGTTATCTATTAACATATCATCTAAGGTAGTTGTCGGTTTAACTATACTTAAACAAAATTTATTACTTGAATTTACATTAGGAATATTAATTAAATCAATAGCATTTTCCTTGCTAATTTTTAATTTAAGCTTTTTATCAATTATTAAACCTCGATGAAGTTGAAATTCTTTAACCCATCTTATATATTTTGTATTTTTAACCCAATTTTCTAAAGTCAATTTCTCTTTAAAATTAGCAACTCCAGGTTGTATCTCGTCTACTAATGATATTGTATCGGATTTTAATTGATAAATTGGAACGAGATTGTTATAAGAAATTATTTCAACCGTATCATCTTGATATAAATCATTCATCCATTTGGTTAATTTTTTATGATTATCCAAATTTATTCCATCCGGCGTCAATATTTTTGGAAAGAAATTCAAAGCGGATAAATTATTAAAAGGAATTTCTTTTTCATATTTTGCTGTATTATATATCCAAGTTAAGTAAGTGATAAAAATGTCGATTTGTGTTGAAGTAAACGATTTAAGGCCATCGATAAATAATTTTCCACCAATGAAAATCTTTCTTGGAAAATGATGACCATACATTTCGTACAACTTTCCTCTATCGTCATTTATAAAATTTGAAAACGTCTTTGATAAATCGGCAGTATAAGTAATTTCGGCAACAGGAAAATTAATACATATATCCGATGGTTGTAGAGATTCGTCAAGTTGAACGTCATTATCATCTGAATTAAAATCTAATAAATTTATACGTGAGTTACGATCGTTTATGGAAGTATACACTAAAGGTTGACCCTCATATAAACTCATATTTAATTCACCATCTTCAGTAAATACAGCTTGTTTACTTGGTTCTATGTTGTACCCATTCAAGAATAATCCATGATTCAAATTAAATTGTTGAATTATTTGCTTTTGTTTAGATAATGATGACTCCGAATATTCCGGATCTAGCGATGATATCATCAATTTTAAAGCTGTAATAACTTTCCGAATAGTCGGTCTCTTATCTGGATCACCATTCCAGCATCCTAAAAAGATTACCATTTGTTAATTTTAGATTATGTACAATTAACATAATATAATTAATGTAAGAAAAATTATTACTTACTTTCATAAAGAGTATAATAATCATTGGGCGTACCATCTACCATGGCTTCTCTTAATCCTTGCGTAATTTCTCTTGCCAAAAATAAATTATATTCTTTATCAGAAAAAGGTTTTTTCCCACTAGATAATTCCCATAATAATACTCCAACGCTGTAAACGTCGCTTTTCTCGTTTAACTCAAATGCACCCGAAGACATTTCTTCAATATCAAATCTTCGTGGATCAGTATAAGGAATTGTATCTAACCAAGCTTGACTAGAATCTTTAATACGTTTATTTAATCCAGAATCTGCCAACTTAATGGAATTTTGATGTACAAGTATACTGCCTGAATGTAAATCTTTATGTACGATTCCCCCCTCGTGCAAAAATTCTATTGCTCCTGATAATTGAATGACTAATTCATATTTGTCTCTCCATTTTAACGAAAGAAAATTCTTTTCCAAATAATTACGAAGTGTGCCTCCTTCCGCATATTCTACTACCAATAAATAATTATCTAAAACATAATATAATATAATATTATTTTAGAATACATATATGATACTTTGGTGGTTTAAGTAAGACGTCCCGTGAAAAAAATTATTTACCTGAACTATTCTTGGTTATTCCATATAATTCCATCATTACGTCATTGATATCATTATTCGCACGTAGTTTTATCTGTAAAAAAAAATAAAATTTTTAGTGATCATGTGAGACTTGTAAAATTATTAAACGCGCCAGACTTTTACAATGCGTACTTTTTTTTTTTGTTGAAATGGATTAATGGAATAATTATTCTACACGAATTTTTAGAAAAAAAAATCTAAATACCTCATGTGCAATTTCCCTGACATTATCGTCATCTAATTTAAATGACTTTAATGTTACAAGTTTTCCATCCTTTTTCCAATTCGCTTTGTATAATTCACCTATCTCTTCTATGTTAACAAATTCGTTACGATCATAATAATTTATATTGGCTTTCTTAATACGTTGTTCCATCGAAAGTATATCAATTAGTAGGAATTTAGAACACAGTAATTTAGGATGAAAGACGTTACAAATTATTGTTTACAAACGAGATTTTAAAATTTCTCTATTATCACGTGATGTATCATCCGTGCGACAAAAAAAAAACGAATGCTCATTTTAATCACTTTAAACAGGTTCATTTACTGCATGCGATGATCTTTCATATGATACAATTTTGGGAAGAATTATAATGGAGAGTTATACTTAACAAAAAAAGAATAGACTTAAAAACTATGTAATCACATATGTCATAATTGTCTTTGAATGGTACATTTTTGGAAAGTTAGAACAATGAATAATATTAACAATATCACCTTATCAGTAAAAAATTAAAATAAAGTTCGAATTTGTAATTTCTGTAACGAGATTATCACTTGCACATGCTGCGAAAGATTATCTGATATTCTAAATTCAAAATTTTTTTATTATACGACTTGTTATATAGTGCATAATTGCGTATAGATCATATGTTAATATATTAAAAATAGATATTTTCAATTCATAATAAAGAATTCTTCTAAACGTACTGCGTTAGTTTCACAAAATCTAGATAGAAAAGAAAGGATTTTTTCCTCACTTCCCCCTTCTTTATAATTAAGTCTTCTTTCATATAATGTTTTTATATATATATTTAGAGCGAACTAGCTGTAGCCTGTTGTGTTGCAACAGAATTATAATATGTTGCTTATCTACAAAATTTATACCCCATGGATTTTTGTTACAGGCTTGTTTTTCTTTACATAACCTTTAACTTCAAATATTTCCTGAAAGGAAAAAAAAAATTACAATAAAAAATGAACAATAAAAAAAAACAATAGCAAAAAAAAGTCTTTTTACTGGCGTTAGTTAATTATTAATAATTAATAAATTTATGTTTCGGTTTGAACAGAAAAAAAATAAATAAGAAAAATGATTAAAAAAATTTATTTTTCGGTATTGACTAAAAAAATCAAAAAAAAAAATTCTTTTCGATATTGAACTAAAAAATTAAAATAAAAAATAAATTTTTTTGGAACCAAAGAAAAAATATAAATCAAAAAAAATTTGATTTTTCGGTAATGAACTAAAACAAAAAATAAAAAAATAAATTTTTTTTCGGTTTGAAAAAAAAGAACCAAAAAAAAAAAAAATATTCGGTAAAAAAAGGGTTTTAAAAAAATAAATAAATAAATAAAGGTTACCGGATATCTAGCGAAAATTGCGATCTGCTGCGGCCGATTATACCATCCCAAGAAATATGATTAAAAAGTCAAAAAGTCAAATTAAAAAAGTAAACAATAGTCTGAAATTTGTTATTCCTAAAATGCCGCGTAAGCGGCAAAATTTTTTTTTGCCATATTACGTGGAATTCTTGTGGATTTCCATGGAATTTTTGTAAAATATCCATAAAAATTACAGCTAAAATAACCCGATAGTATAACCAATTTAAGTCACATAATTTATAGGTGACGGCCATCATTAATGTTACACAATTCAAATTATTTAAACTATTCGTAATAAATGTAATTTCAAATTAGCGTTTTTTTTAAAATAAAAATGTGTATAATGATTTACTTATATTAGTGTTATGGCGAAATTATTATGGTCTTTTTTTTTCCACAGTCATTAACTACATAATATAACGAAAATAACTATAAACTTGAATTTATTTTTTTCACGACAAAAACCTTTTTTTTTAAACAAGATATTGCGCCACGCGTTGTGAAAGTTATACAGTTGCCAGTTGGCCTTTTTATGCGACAATTTGACGTTGGCATTTCATGAAATATTTCTCAAATTAGTAATTTCACGTTGCTTTATCCATTTTATTAAATGATGATTCCTATATTTTACTGTATTATACCAAAAAATTTCCCATCGTTATCTGCGTTTGTTACAGGAATGATTTCAAAGTGATGTTAACGAGCGAAACTGTTTTTGAGATTGGCTAAATATTTCGCCTTTTGAGGTCAAATTACGAAATTTTGGCCCAAAGTTGGCCAAACTTCCATAATCCCCGAAACTTTAAAGAATAAATTAAGACTGTCCAAATTTATTTTTTTTTTTAAAAAAAAAAAAATAATAAAATACACACAAAATTTAGCTAAAATGCTTATAATAAAATTTACATAGCATCAATTATTTCATAAACTTCAGTAGCTGAATCCACCAAACTATGATAATTTCATTTTTTGGATCCATCTACATTTGAATATTATGCTAATTCACACAGTTACTGCGCGTACTGTGTGTGTAAATCACTCCTTTTTGGGTTTGGAAGTTCGGAGATTTCGGAAGTTTCACTTACAAGCTCGTCCGCAATGTTCATTCATAGAATTATTGATTACATAATTCTAGCCCTACTTGGTTGAAAAGTCATAAAATAGAAAAGATTGGGGAAATGCACAACATAAAACTAGTATATATATGGAAATTTAGAAATGAATGCATTAATCAAATGCGTAGATTGATGATCGTTATGCCAATCATGATATCATATTGGTAATACAAACATAACTGATAAGAATCCCATTTTTTTCAAATTTATTTTTTTTATTTAATCCTTGTCAAAATCTTTAAAAAAATGACGACCAGTTCCAATAACACAATTAATAATGAATGGATTCAATGGATTGAAGATGGAATTGCTGGCGAATATATAAATTACCATGATTATAATGAATTTCATGATATGGAGCGTATTGGTACTGGAGGATTTGGTGAAGTTTATCGAGCTAATTTGGAGAGTTCAAATACCGTTGTCGCATTAAAATCTTTGACAAGTGGTAATAATAACATGAAAGAAATTGTTAATGAGGTATTGAAACTAATTATTACTAGCTCTAATATTTTTATATTAATTACTAAAAAATATATATTTTTTAGATAAGATTAATGCGTAAAGTTAATTTACATACGAATATTATACAATTTTTTGGTATTACTAAAAAGAAGAGTAAGCATATCATTATATAAAAAATTGAATATATTTACGTCGATAAATTTATTTACTAATTTTCCTTCTGTAAAACGTACAGATAATGTTGATTCAGATTATCTATTCGTTCTTGAATATGCAGATAGTGGTACATTGAGAGATTATTTAAAAAATAATTTCGATAAATTAGATTGGGATATTAAATTACGATTTGCAATTCAAATTACTGATGCTGTCTCGTGTATACATCACAAAAATATTGTTCACCGTGACCTAGTAAGTATTTTTTTTTTATTTTTTTTCAAAAAAAAATTTGCATATAACAAACGTATATGTCAACATACTGATTATTGATTATAAATTCAGCATTCTAATAATATATTAGTTCATAAAGATAATATCAAATTAGCGGATTTTGGTCTTTCACGTAGAGCCGAAGTATCAAATTCCATAAAAAATATTTTTGGGATGTTACCTTATGTTGATCCACATCATTTCAAAAAGAAAGCAAACGATGATAATAATAATCATCCGAATAAAAAATCAGATGTGTATAGTGTTGGCGTTCTTCTATGGGAAATATCATCAGGAAAAAGACCATTTAAATCTTGCCAAAGTGCTTTTGATGAAATAACACTAACATTACAAATTATAGATGGTAAAAGAGAAATTCCAGTTGCTGGTACACCAGATGAATATGTTAAAATCTACACAAGTATGAACCTTAATTCATTTATTCGATTCGTTATTTTCTTTAATTTATAATACAAATACACATTTTTATATATTAATTTTTTTTTTTCAAAAATTTCTAGAATGTTGGCAGGGCAATCCAGATAATAGACCAGATATGCGACAAGTATTTTCCGAATTAAAATCAATTAATTTAGCAAATGAACAAAACCCCTGGAATAATACAAACGCTATTAATAATGACTATAATACTTCATCAGATAGTTCGTCAAGTAGTTACTCATCAACATCAACTAGCAATTACTCGACAACTAATTCATCGTTATGCAGTTCATTAGATTGTTTATTAGAAATTGAAGATGAAAAATCAAAAGCCACTACAACTACAGTTGTTCGATCGAGATCAAGTAAGAATACGCTACTGAGAAATTTCCTGAAAGATCATAAGAAGAGTCTTGAACGAACGTAAGATTTACTTCGACTTTATTAGGGTTTTATATTTTTATCACAAGCGTAGCAGCGTGCCGTATAACTTTGTTAGGGCCAAGAAGGGTTCAGAATATTCACTTTTTATATAAAGATACAAATTTACTTCTTATTTCTGCAAAAAGAAACACTTTGTATTCTTTAAACACATTTTTTGATTCAATACCTAGTTATTATGATAAATGGGGGATATTGTCAATATAATTTTTAAATAGTTCTGTAGGGTGGTATCCTAAAAATACTAAAACTAGTAAAACGAACTTCTGGTGTTTTTTTAAAGATAATCTTTTACAATATATTAAATAGTACTTTACATCGTATCCTAATAACATGCGAATTACGTGATGCTCTCTTCGCGTCATAGTTAGTGATAATAAAAGATAAATTATATAATTTTTTTTCGATATATTTATTCATGTTATTTGCCATTTTATTATTAATAATAAAAAAGCTGTTCCGATGGGTGTATTCATCTGTATTTCTGTATGACAAATTTGAGTTTAATTATTATTAATAATAAAAAAGCTGTTCCGAAGGGTGTATTCATCTGTATTTCTGTATGACAAATTTGAGTTTAATAGACCTAAAAATCGTATTGAAATGTCTAAAAGAATAATATACAGTAATTATTAACAACTGACTCCATAACAGTATATTCCTTTTAGCCCGGGGATTATTCTACTAATCCAAAGCGCACCAAGAAAATCATGATCACGTGATCAACTTTTTTATTCCTTAGCGTCACTCTCCATTTGTCCCTCTTTATTATACATTTAATTGGTATAGGTACGATGCAGATGTAGTTATAGTTACAAGATCGTTATCTTTTGGGTAAAACCATTTTTTTGAATTTTTTTGATTGTGCTGAATTTTTAAAAAATTTGCCATGCATGTAACAAATGGGAACCGTTAGCCCGGTCGGTTGCATTTTTTTGTTCGGTTGTCTGATTTTTATGTAACAAATGAATGACCAACATTTTGACCCATAAAGTTTTTTGGGGTTTTGATTTTTCAGTCGAACGTGTTTCACCAATAGAATGGTTTATTTTGTTAGTTATAACGATTCGGGATTGACTCTTAACGTAAACCAAATCCACTTATAATTAATTTTATCACAATGTACGATTTTATTATATATTTCGCAATATAAACCAACCATATTTATTTATTCGCATTATCCGATTTTATCCTAACTCCGGCCAGGTAACGTTTAGACTAGCATGTATAAATAGTTTGAATTGTGTAACTTGAAATCCCATAATTAAAACCCGTGACTTTTTTCAAATATTTTTAGCTTTTCTCATTCTTTTCCCGTTTACCAAACTGAAAAAATTTTTTTTTTTTTATTAAATAATCCTATCTGCTATTGTTTCGGTCTTTTAAGACCGATTTTTTTTATATTAATTTTTTTTCGATCTTTTTTTTTAGACCGTATTGTTATTTTTTTTTCAGATTCGCTTAATATAACTCTAAGTTATATATCGCTTAATATCTAAGCAATTAAAGAACTGACGATAACAATATCATGATGTTGTACAAATCCACAGGCGATTAATGATAAATAAAAAGAAGTCTTTTTTATCAGTGTTAATTATTATTAATAATTAATAAGTAAATAGAAAATGGATATTTAAAAAAAAAATCAATTTAAAAATTCAATTTTTTTTTTCGGTTTGAATCAAAAAAACCGAAAAAATAAAAAATCGATTTTAAAAATTTTTTTTCAGTTTGAAAAATCGGAAAAAATTTCAGTCTATAAGAAAAAAAATTTCCCAGTTTACAAGAATCAAAAAAAAAAAGCATTTAATAAATTTCCTAGTTTATAAGAACCAAAAATATAGGGATTATTTAAAATAATTTCAATAAATTAAATTGGGATATTAAATTGCAATTTGCAATTCAAATTGCTGATGCTGGATATTGTTCATCGTGACCTAGTGAGTACTTCTTTTTTTTTAATTTGCATGTAACAAACGCATATGTCAAAATACTAATTATTGATTATAAAATTAGCATTCTAAAAATATATTGGTTAATAAAAATCCTATCAAATTAGCGGATTTTGGTCTTTCACGCAGAGCCGAAGTGTCAAATTCTATAAAATATGTCTTTGGAATGTTACCTTATATTGATCCATATTATCTTAAAAGGGAAGAAAACAAAGATAATAATAATCATCCAAATAAGAAATCAGATATGTACGGCGGTGGCGTTATTTTATGGGAAATATCATCTGGAAAAAACCATTTGAATCTTATAATAATCCTCATAATGAAATAACATTAACATTACATATTATAAACGGTAAAAGAGAAATTCCAATTGTTGGTACACCAGCAGATGATTATGTTAATATCTACAAAAGTATGAATATTAATTCATATAATTTAGTGCATTAATTTTTTCAATTAATATAATTACTTATTTTTTTTTGTTATATATTTTTAGGATGTTGGCAGGATAATCCGGATAATAGACCAGATATGCGACAAGTTTCCGAATTAAAATCAATTAATCTAACTAATGAACAAAAAACTTGGAATAATACAACGCTATTAATAGTGATTATAATAATACATCAAATAGTTCGTCAAATAGTTACTCATCAACATCAGCTAGTAATTACTCGACAATTAGTTCATTGTTATATAGTTCATTAGATTGTTTATTAGAAATTGATGAAAAATCCACCACTACAACTACAGAGTAAGAATATGTTGCTGAGAAGTTTCCTGAAAGATCATAAGAAAAGTCTTGATCCTTGAGCGAGTGTAAGATTTACTTCAATTTTGGGCTTATATTTTATCACATGCGTAGCGGCGACGCGGCGTGCCATTTAGGGCCAAAAAGGGTTCATAATAATACTATCGCTTTTTATATAAAGATTCAAAGTTTACTTTTTATTTCTGCAAAAGTAATACTTATATTTTTAAGACGCGTTTTAAATTAATACCTAGTTATTAATATGATAAATATTAATATGATAAATGGAACTAAATACGTTATTGTCAATAAATCTGTGGTGGTATCCTAAAATACTAATTTAATAGTAAAAAACTTTTTTTTAAAATGAAACTTATGTATTACAAGTTAAAGTTTAATAAACCTATAAATCGTATTGAAATATTAAAAAGAATTTATTTATATTTATAACGGTATATTCCTTTTAACCCAGACAGTGATAGAAATTGGATCCGTGCAGTTGGCGCAGCGTACACGTTTTAAATTCTGCGCTTGTAATTAAAAGTAGATAGGGGCGATATTTCATAATAGCGCTTTATACGATTATTTAATTTTATAAATAAAAACGCATACGGCTTTCATTATTTCATAGGTTGCGCTCTGTTCGTATAATTTCCGACACCCGGGTGATTATTCCAACTACCCGAATTCTTGGATCCCGTGATCGACCTTCCGTCGCGGCGACTCTGATGAAAAAAAGGTAAAAAAAAAAAAATATTCTTACAATTGACCGAAATGGCGAAATATATACTTGTTATTCCATGGGTATCAATGAATAACTGAAATATTCACCGATGCCTTGTGGACCCCCCGAAGGGAGGGGAGCATCGGTGTATATGGAGTATTTATTAGATACCCATGGAATAACAGGTTTTTATTTTTAGATAAAGATGAATACTAAAATAATATAAAAAACAAATGAAGCTGCGGACGTTTAGGAATCAAGCCCCAACTCAGTAAATTCCGCGTACTACTATATGATCCTAATTTTTTAATTCCTATCTACTCTATTATAAATCAAAAAAAAGGCAATATTTTTGTATATTTATTTAATGTCAGCAATTCATTATTTTAATTGTTAAAACTTAAGATATTTATTTAAATATAGTATTTCAATTGATCGTAATATAAAATAAATAATGTTCTAAATTCATCTAAAATCTAAATAAAGTTATTATAGAAAATTAATACGCAGGTACTAAATTGACTACTGCGCACACATAAAATCCTAAAATTGAAGTAATTGAAATTTCACGTTTTGACCTAAAGAACTTAGTTTCTAAATCTTTTTTTTTCGAAAATGTTTGAGTCTATGAAATGAAAAGAGAATATAACAATTTAATGAATTTGCATTATTTTTTTTTCTTTTTTTTACTAGTTTGTATTACCAGAATTTTTTTTACTCTTCTATAAGACTCTTATAATTTAAGACTTTCTTTATGATCTTTCAGGAAACTTCTCAGCAATTCATTCTTACTTGATCTCGATTGAACATCTGTAGTTTTGGTAGTTATTCCTTCGTTTCCAAGTTGTAACAAACAACTTAACGAATTATGTAATAATGATTTAATCGACGTGTAGTCATTTGATGAATAATTATCACTAGCAGTTGTATTTTCCCAGGTTTTTACTAGTTTTTCATTAATATTTACTAACATTAATTCAGAAAGTACTTTTCTCATATCTGGTCTGTCATCTGGATTATCTTGCCAACAACCTAGAAATTATTTAAAATAATAAATTTAAAAATGAATACTGTATATTAATTAACGAAGATAGTGCATTGAATTATATGAATTAGGGCTCATACTTGTGTAAATATTAACATAATCAACTGGTGTATCAGAGATTGGAGTTTCTCTTTTACCGTTTATAATATCAAACAGTAAAAATGATGCATCGTTAGATCCAAATGGTTTTTGTCCAGATGATATTTCCCATAGAAGAACACCAACACTATACACATCTGATTTTTTACTTGGAAGATTTTTATTATCGTTGTTTGTTTTATTTTTGAAATGATGTGGATCAATATAAGGTAACACTCCCATAATATTGTTTGTAGAAGTTGATACTTCAGCCCTACGTGAAAGACCAAAATCTGCTAATTTGATAATATTCTTATGAACTAATATATTTTTAGAATGCTATTTTCATAATTAATAATAAATAAATTAATATATGCGTTGTTATATACAAATTAAAATAAAAAAAAAAAAGTACTTACTAGGTCACGATGAACAATATTCTTGCGATGTATACATGAAACGGCATCAGCTATTTGAATCGCAAATTGTAATTTATCATTCCAATTTAATTTATTGAAATTATTTTCTAAATAATCTCTCAGTGTACCACTATCTGCATATTCAAGGACAAACAAGTAATCTGAATCAACGCTATCTCTGTTATTATCTTCATTATAAAATGTAAATTAGTAAATAATTTACCTACGTTAACGTTAATGTATTAAATTTTATTTAATGATATACTCACTTTTTCTTTTGGTAATACCATAAAATTGAACAATATTCGTATGAAAATTAACTTTATGCATCATCGTTATCTGAAAAAGTTTTATAGTAATTAGTATGTAACTATTGGAAAATAAACCAAATAATCATTAAATTTATATACCTCGTTAGCAATTTCTTTCATACAACAATCATCATTTTTCAGAGATTTTAATGCAACAACGGTATTTGAACTTTCCCAATTAGCTCGATAAACTTCGCCAAATCCTCCAGTACCAATACGTTTTATATTTTGAAATTCATCGAAATCATGGTAATTGATATAATCACTAGCAATTCCATTCTCGATCCATCGATCCCATTTATTATCGTTAATTTTGTTATCTGAACTGGTCGTCATTTTTTAAAGTATTCAGAATTAATAAAATTGTATCAAAATAAAATATGAAACAAAAATGATTTTATATAAACTTCGATTGGGCTAATCGCAGTGTGTTAACGCCATTACGCATACTGCATAACTTGCACAATTGCATGATTTTTGCTCCATTTATATTTTCGATCATATGCTAAAATCGAACAATTTATTACGTTCACATGATTACCTTATTAGTATCAGCATAAAACCGATAATTAAATCGATCTATTTATACCGATGTTGACATAAAAATTTTTACACACCAAACATAGACTAAATAAAAACTGAAAATTTTATTTGCAGTCTACACTAGTACAGTATAAACCAATAATAAACTAAACACTTATATGGTTGACTTTAAATTTGGAAAATTTTTTACGTTAAATCACGTGACTTAAAAATAACCAATTACCTAAACTTACAACTCTTCTTTATCCTCCTTATTTCTTTTTCAACTCGCCATCTTTTCCTAATTACCTTTATTCTTCGGACTATTCTGTAAACGTTTATCACTCCCACTCTTCAATTCTTTATCTCTATTTTCATCCTTAAGCCTTTTGTGTCTTCGTTTAACGTAGTGTATTTTTCGATGACATCATGTTTTTCTGCCACCCGGATGATTTCTTCTCCAATCAATTTAAAATTATTTTGCATTTTCTCTAAAGCACCTGGACTCGTATCTGCCGCACTAATACCTAATGTTTTACAAACTTCATCTGCACTCCTAACACTTCCCATTTCATCTTATTTCCAACTTTTTCTCAAATTTCCCAATCTTCTCGTCAAGCCTTGATCCAGAGTCATTTTGTGTAGTTGAAAAATCATTACGTTTGTAAAGGATTTTACTCTCTTCCCTTTGTTGATTAATGATTTCAACTACTTCCTCCGGTGAAACATTATCTTTCTTTAATTCCCTCTTTTTTAATGAATCCTCTGACACATCCCCTAGTTCATATCCGCCTCAAATTTCTCAATTGTTTCAACAACTTGATCTTCTGATACTCTCGTAACTACTTCAACTTCTTTCCTCTTATCTGTACTCTCCTTGTCAACCTTACTACTAGCCCCGTAGTCTTTGGCAGTGAGTATGGTGATTAATTCCGATTAATATTTTTACCTGGCGACGGTAATTCCGCATATATTCTATTTGGAGGTGTAACCGGACTTGATAAATTTATACCACTCATACTCTCTTCCACTTTTCTCTCCTGTTTCTTATCTCTAACTTCAACTTCTTTACCTCCTTTTCCACTTACAATATCCCTAAAAGTCCGAAACATCCAACACTTTACCTTCTAATCCATTCTTAAGAGAATTTTCGACAGCCTCCATCAACGTATTTTCGTTCACAAAATACGCTAATAACTCCATTTTTTGGTATTTTGAGTATTTTGATAAAGGCTATCGTATCTTCAGCCTTCACCACCTTTAAACTAATCAAGGATTCAATATTTCACGTAAATGAATTTTCTAATAATAAATTTCAATTATAAATTGATTATAAACAAACATAATATAATAAACACTATAATAATTTTTAAAGCTACAATAAAAAAAATAAGATAAAATTATGTAATGGAATCAATTAATTAATTGTATAACAAAGTACTATAAGAAGTTCGATTGCGCAGCAAAGCAGATCTGGCCAATCAGCTCAAACCAAAAAAACTGACTACAAAAGTAATAATATGATATAACAAAAAAAAAAAAAAAAAAAATTAAAAAAAATGAAACCCTAAAACCCTTACTTAAATACCTACAATACAAAAATATATCAGATATCGTTAGATCGTTCTGTTATTAAATAATGACGAAAAAAAAAAAAAAAAAAAAACAAATTAACAAAGAATAATAACTTCGCTATAATATACAATGTATCAAGCAGTAATTAAAAAAAAATATATTTATTAAACTCATTATAAAACGTGTAATATTACAATAAAAGAAAATGTAATTATAAAGAAGGAAAAGAGACGTTCGATTTAGAAATTAATTACTAATGAGTTAAAACTTTTGCAAAAAGAAAGAAATACTACATAAACACAAAATGACATATAAAATCTACAAAATTTTAATTTATCAAGGACTTGAGTTGCGTATCTAATTTAGCTTTTTCTGCTTGCTTATGCAGAATATCTCGAATTTCTTCTTCAGTTATTTCATAATCATCAATTAATTTCCGTCTAATTTTCTCTAGCTCTTCGGAAGCAGAATTTTCGTTGGTCTGAATAACATTTCTTTGTTTTTTCCAAAATATTATCCACGAAAGTTCTCCCTTTTTTATCAAGATCATGTTTTTATATTTTTCTGTTTCTTCATTCAATAGTCTCGTTAGTTCATCAGTTTGTTTCTGGAGTTTATTAATAGAAACATTTTTATTTTCCAATTGGTTATTGAGAGCATTAATTTCCTTAAGAGAATCTTGCCATTTTTTGGTTTCTTCATTTAACTTATCATTTAGTTTCTCTTTACCTTTTATTTCATTGTTGAGGGAAATAGATTTTTCCTCATTTTGTTGTTTGAGATTATTAATGAGTTCCTCTTTATTTTTTATTTCGTTATTGAGGGCGACAATTTTTTTCTCATTTTGTTGTTTGAGCCTATTAATAAGTTCCTCTTTTTCCTTTAGTTCATTTTCGAGAGCGTTAATTTTTTCTTCATTTTATTTGTGTTTAATCTTATCAATAAATTCCTCTTTATCTTTTATTTCGTTATTAAGGACAGTAGTTTGCTCCTCATTTTGTTGTTTGAGCTTTTTAGCTTTTTTTCTTTTTCTTCTAATCGTTGTTTGGTTTGTTGAATAACAACTCTTTTTGTTCCAATTTGGCATTTAATTCATTAATCAATTGTTTCAATTTAGTTGTTTCTTGCTCTAAAAGAATATTCTTTTTTACTAAATCTTCTTCTCCCGTACGTAAGCTACTTTCTTTTTCTTCAAGTTCTGTAAATTTAGCGTCTAGTTCTAACTCTTTTTCAACTTGTTGTAGCGCTTCCTTTTGTTTAATTAATTTCCAATTTTTTTTCCATGCTTTCAAGTTATATCTACCTTGAAAAGCATCAATAGGACTCAGCGTATAAGCCTCAAGTTGTTCATATGTTTTTTTCACTTTAGCTTCCGATCTTTTATCAGCTAAGCATCGAAAATTCATAATACTATCAGGCAAGAATTCTATACCAGTTTCTATATCAGTATTATTAATACTTTAACTCTCTAATTTAACCAACTTTTTTAAGGGTTTCAAACTACCATGAAACTGATTATATATGCCTTGTTGGATTCTATCTCCATCGGTGTTTCCTACAAATAGTTCCTTTAAATTAACAAAACGGCTAAAACAATCTAAATTTTGAGAAAATGAATTATCGAGCAAATTTAATATTCTAATTTTTCACTATTTGCAACAGGTAGTTTTAATTGATTAAGTTGATTACAACTAGCTGTAACAGATTTAAATATTCAAACAATTACTTAGATCTAAACTAACTAATTTATTTTGGGAACAGTCAATTTCGGTTAACTGCTTATTCTTGCTGATATCCAAACTAGTAAGTTGATTTTTGGAACAAATCAATTCTTCTAAATTAACAAATTCGGACAAATCTAAATGAAATTCTAAATTTTTATTATCAATTATTAATTTGTTCTCCTTTTCTTTGTCGCTTTCTGTTGGATATCGTTTGTTTATATATTTTCGTGTATTTGTTTGTTCTAATTGTGGTTCTATAAAAAATCATCAATTAACATTAAAATTTTAAAAGTTGTTTATATTATTTGTATTTACAAGAAGAAAAAAATAATATACCTCCTATATAGTTATTTCCAGTTAGATTATATCTCATTGTATATCCCTTTCCGTTAATATCAATCAATGAATTTCCAAGATCTGAATGTAGAGTGCAAACGGCAATTTCAACATTAGGTTGAATGTGATTAAAATCTATACCTGAATTCGAAATATTTAAATGAACACAATTTTTTGACCATCCAGTAAACTTAATATTAATAGGCCTAAAACAATTAATAGATATACCGTATCCTTGAAATAATTTGTGAGAAGTTTTAACTGAATAAGAAGAATTTTTACGTTGTAATTTAATAGATTGCTTAACGTAACCAACGTGTATTTCTCGATTATTCGGACTAAATACTGATAATTTTGAAGGATTTCCAATCATCATCCATAGGATATTACATTCCTTTATGTTTACATTTGTATTTGAGGTTTTTATTGTCGCAATAAATTTATCAATTTCATATGATCTAAATGTAACAAAAATATCTTTCAATCTTGAATTATTTTTTGAAATAATAGATCCAAAAACCTCGTAATTTTTATTTTTCAACGATGGCTCTATACTTATACCCTATGAAAAAAAATCATCCAATTTTTGTACAATATTTGTTCAAGTCCGTGTGGAAATTGTACAATTATTGCAGATTTTTAGATAAAAATAGCTATGAAGTTTTTCAAAGCATATTAAAAGTATGCAATTTTTGTACAACTTAAATTTAAGATATAGAAAATGTTCAATTTTTGTGTGATTTTTATACAACTTAAATTTAGGATACAGAAAACATTCAATTTTTGTACAATAAAAATTGTGATTATTGTACAACTTGAAAATAGACTTAAATTTAGGATACAGAAAGCAATTTTTGGGTAATCC